ATGCACGCACCCATCCACATACATGGACACGGCCCCCATAATCCGCGAGACCAGCCTCTTGATACGAATGTTCGCGCAACGCTTACCCTCGAAACCAACGTGGATTCATGTACGTGTACGTCCTGCCTGTCGCTCCTGAGCTGTGCGCTCCCCACCCACGTACCCCTGGGGCAACGCCCACCCCCCCCCGCCGCCAGTGACACCCCACGCAGCCCCCCGTCACAAAGAAACGCGCATCCGGGGCAGACCCAAGCTGGGTCGCGGGGGCGCGCCCCCTACCAAGTGCCGCAACTCGGCTCTGAAGCTCTGTGCAAGGAGAACTCGGTGGTAATTCATGGGAGCCTCCCGTGCCATCTTGTCGGCTCTTTGCGAATCGACGCTGATCGATGCTAGTCGACACTGAATCGACGCTAGCCGACGCAACAAAAAGGCACACCTCATCGACTCCCAGGGCGCTGATCGACGCTAACCGACGCGAAAGACTGCATCAGAAGGGTACGCCAAGCTCCCACGAGTTGCTACCGAAGGAGACGGGGGCGGGGGGCGGCGGTCGGTCGCCAGGAGGCCGCTCGGATAGAAGCAAAACGCCGTGCTGCAAGCACCACACTTCATCTCTGCGACGACACCAGAGCTAGGATCCTCCGGGTCGCGCAACTGGGGAGAGCACCTTAGACCGCTGCCCGCTGGGCCAAGGGATGCGCGCGGAAACATCGCCGTCATACAGCGCGGGGCACGAATTCGAAACAACCAAACGACAGAAGCAATGGAATCCGAACGACATCGCGGTGTTCGCAAACGTTACCGTGCCCAAACAACAGACGTCATGGTTGTGGCTTGTGGCATGGAGAATGGACCTCCCGATCAGATCGCACTGACTTGGATTTCATACGAAACGATTATCTGACGGGCCATGCGGCAATGCTGGGACGTCTGGTCGTCTCGGTCTTGCTGTGACGCCGTTGGTGTGGCTCCCGATAAAGAGCCTCCAAAAACTCCGCAAAAAAACCAACGCCTTTCCAAAATCTCTGCCCGCTGCACCTCCTCCCCCTCCCGGGGCATCCTCTGCTGCATGAAACCCACCGTCCTCCATTCAGCAATCAACCGGCACAGGTGCGTGGACGCTGGCGGGTGCATTCCCGCTTTGAGGGCCTTCCAGCCATCGCCAAGACTCCAGGGAACCCACAGAAGGGACGTACAGTCAAATTCTGCAGCAAGGACACGCCTCAAAGGACGAAAGGCCCTTGGACGGTCCTGGGACGCCCCAGTGGAAGACTGTCCGGCGCGGCGCACTGCCGAACAAATCTGAGGACGCAAAGGTGCCCGTGGCAAAGGTGACACGTCCTCACTGTGGACCTTCACTGCACGGGCCCGGCAACGTACACTTAGGTCGGGCATGTCCCCCTACAGGGGGCAGCTTGGGCAAAAAATGATCCATGCTCAAAAAAACTCCAAACATATCCCAAAATAGCCAACAATACTCCAACAAATCGTCCCTTGACTATTTTTCCATTATTTCTGAATATTCCTCCTGCAGAGGGACGTGTCCGACTTAAACGTACATAAACACCAAAACCTATATAGATGTATATATATAAACCAAATGCATCCTCACACATATTCAAAACATGCTCGAAACTCCGTCCCCAGACTGTTTTTGCTACTATTCCTGAGCCTTCCTCCTGTAGAGGGACAAGCCCGACTTAACCTCACTATGGACTTTCACCAGACGCGCCCGATTTGAACGTACACGAACCCGGCCATCCCCCCCAGAATCCACGAGCCCAGCCTCCTGCCACGAGCGCTCGCGCAGCGCATCTGCCCCCGCAGCGCCTACGAGCAGGCCCGCCCTCCTGCCGGCACCCAGGGGCGCCTGCTGCGGCGGCGCCGGCAACGCCCTGGGCCCTCTGAGCATCCTACATATGGAGGCCTCCCAGATGGGGTCGGAGCAGATGGGGTCGGAGGATCTCGCCGCATCGGCGACACATCGGCGACACATCGGCGATGCATCGCCGATGCATTGGGGATGCGTCGGCGACGTCGGCGATGCGTCGGCGACGTCGGCGTGGCGAAGTCGGGCTCCGCGTCGAGCCGCATCGCCAATGCATCGGCGATGCGGCGCGATCATCGGACCCCATCTGCTCCGACCCCACTTGAGAGACCTAGATCCTACGCTGCAGGAAACACGGGGCGGCTGCCGTTTCAGGGCCCCGAAAAAACCTGGACACGCCAGACCAGGACATACAGCACCTCTCGAACCAAGTTGTTCCAGAGTGCGGCATGAGACAACACTGCGCTGCAACACTTCCGGGACAAACCGGGGCACAGGCCCTCGAAGCATGCAGAACACCCTGGACTTGGACAAGGACCCGAATCCTGCAGAGCAGCAGCAAGAACCTGCACCGGACGACCTAATCTGACTTTGCGGGAGGAGGAGGAGGAGGAGGAGGAGGAGGAGGAGGAGGGTGAGGGGGAGGGGGAATGAGGAGGAGGAGGAGGAGGCGGGGGCGGAGAGGAGGAGGAGGAGGAGGAAGAGGAGGAGGAAGATGAGGAGGACGAGGAGGAGGAGGAGGAGGAGGAGGTGTCGCTTCCCCCGCTTGGCAGCGTCCTGTTCAGTCTGTGTGGTGGTCTCCGGGGCCCTGACCATTTCCCACGGCTGGGTTTCCAGAGGCCCTACAGGGTTCCAGGATTAGGTCGGGCATGTCCCCCTACAGGCGGAGCTTGGGCGAAATAATAAGAAATGCACCAAAGTAGCCCAAACATAATCAAGACATCGTCACCGCATTATTTGGTTGACTATTGTTGAATATTCCTCCTGTAGAGAGACGTGCCCGACTCAATTCCAGGATCGCGAAACACATGCCCAGGGCCGAACACTGGTTCCCTGCACGGGGTCGAGGTGCCCGAGAGCAAACGCCACCACAAACAGTACTCGGGGCGATCCCCACCAAGAGCTGCTGCGAGTCGTCTCGAAATCTGTCGCGTAAGACTCACTGAGCAGACCTGCAAATATTAAATCCATAAACGAATGCTTGTAAATGGTCGGCAGGCGTGCTCAATCTGCTAGGCATGACCGCATCTTGCTTCCTATATCGCAGCTGGGTGCGTCCGCTTTATGTGTAATGTTGTTGCTACTGCTGTTATTGCTGTTGTTGATCCCCCCCTCCAGTAACACATTGCATTTTCCAACTGAAGTGCTTCTCCCGGGGCTCACACCCTGTTTTTTACAAGGGAAAGTGAATGGTCACCAAACTGCGCCCCTGAGCCCCGAATTGCAACAACAACAACAACGGCTCCCGCCTGATATTTCTTCACAATTGATTCCCAAATCGAATTCGCGCGTGGGACTTCCTCAATGCAAGCAGGAATCGCGCTCGCGCGTGGGACTTCCTCGAATTTTTTTCAGACGCCGCGCCGTCGACACTCAGAGATCACGCTCTCGCCATGGCCTTTTTTCCCACGGATTATTTAAGAACCGCGCTATCGCTCAAGACGTCCTCACGATTCATGCAAGACGCACGCTTCAACAACCCGCGTGCCCCTTGTCCCTTCCTTCCGTCCTGTCTTCCCATGTCTTAAGAGCTGAACGAAAGAAGGGGGCACGATCGAAGACGAAAAAAACGGATATCGAGGATTTGGGATATGCGTGTCGGGTGGCACGCCAGCGTATGATATCGAGCAGTCTTTCAATGTTTGCTGATGTTGTTGCTGTTGTTGTGATTGTCGTTATTGCCGTCGCGAGTGATATTGTTAGTGTTGTTGTTGTGCGCGCGTGTGTGTTTGTGTGCGTTTAAGCGTGTGCTTCAGAGACTGACGCATGTTCTTGGAGCCCGCCTGCCATGACGTGTACATATGGTCGTGATGTTGAGTGTTGTCGTATAGGTAGGGTTCCCCCCATCGAAATGTTTGATTTGCAAATCGATGGCGTACGACATCGATGTATGGTGACACAACATCATGTTTGCATGTATTACCGACCTCTGTCCGCGATGCGTATACACGGTGTCTCACATCGTTTTTTTTTTTTTTTTTTTTTTTTTTTTTTTTTTTTTTTTTTTTTTTTTTTTCTGCTGGACAGGCCATTCTTAATGTATGTGGATGCCAAACGCCGTGCTTACTATGTGGCTACTTGGTTCACGCGAATGTACTGACTATTCCGTTCCAATTCGTGGTGCACGTGCCTGGTGCATGTGTTTGGCTCGTGTCGCATAGAACGTTGGCCTGTGCTATTGATGCATATGCTGCGCCCCCAGGCCGAACGTTTCCTTCCGTGCATGGGTAATCCGATAGACCCATGTGATTCCATAGTGTGTGCTCGTATGTAAGAATTTCGTGGGGCCAACAAAACCGATACACGTCGCTGTGTATGGTTATCTGTATACATATATATATATATACACACTGGATCCAACTGTTGGGCGTGGAAACCTCGTGGGACCGATGATTTCTTGGGGATGAACATGCAATAACCGCTCGTATCGTGAATCCCTAGAGAACTCGATCCACGAGAAAGCTTTCTATGCTTCTAAGGGTGAAACGTCTTTCCTTGTCGGTCGATCGGTCGGTCGATCGTCGTGCGTTGTCATCGGTCAATCGGTCGGTCGGTCGTCGTCGGTCGGTCGGATGTCGTCGTCGGTCAGCCCGTCGCCGTTGTCATCTGGGCCATAAGAGGGAGATGTCACTGCCTGCGCACGCGGGGTTTCGACCTGCCCCTCCGCCACAAAGCGCGCCAGTTTCGCCGATGCCCCGCTTCGGCCCGATCGAGACGCACGCGGGCAAAAGCGGTTCGGTCGAATGGACAAACAGATGGCCCCGATGGTTCCCTCCATGCCCGCGCCAAGTCGGCAGCCGCAACACTAGCCCCTGGAGCTTCTCGCCTGCGCAATTTTCCCGCTGACGGGCAGCAAAGAGCGAAATTCCCCCCGGCCCAAGGCTGAAGTCTTTTCTGCTAGAACAACCGTGGATTCAATCGGATCCGCTGCGCGCGCAAAACGGGGTCGCGCCTGCCACTCGGCCACGACGCGACGGGCCAGCTCGTGGGTCGGGGGCCGGACGGACGACGGCTCGCATTTGATGCGAAACGTCGCCACGACGTCCGTCGCACTCACCAGCGCCGCGCCGCAGATGGAATCGCCGGCCTGGCCGGCCACCTCCGACGGGAAGTCAGCCGCCCAGACAGTCTCCATCGTCCAACCGTGGTTCGCGACACCGTGGCTCAACAGGGGCCCCAGGCGGGCCCCGCCGCTCGGCGCGCGCGATCTTCTCCACGCGCGCGACAGGCGCCCTCATCGCCAGCGACGCCTCCTCAATGTTGCTGATGTCAGGCAGAAAACGCCTGGCGCCGATGCTCCTCAGCCCATCGACCGGGAAACGGAACTGCGGCGCCTCCGCCCCATGCGTTGGCGCTGCGCCGCGCTGGTCCGCGAGCCGAGCCGCCGCGCGCAAGGGCGCGCCATCCAGCCGAGGCAGCGCAATGTGAAACTTGCCATGCCGCCGCGAGTCGGCGCGCCAGCCGCTAGACATGACCGAGCGCCGGCTGCGCGCCAGCTCCCCCAACCGCGCGCCGTCCGCATTGTTTTGCACCTTGCGCGCGACCGACGGCGCAACCGACTCTAGGCGACCCGCCTGCAGATCGCGCATCCACATGTCCAGCGCGCCGCCCCAGGCCCGGCCGACGCGCCATCTCGCGCCGCAACTCGGTGCTTTCGTCAATTTTGCACAGCGCGTGGGCGCCCGAGGCCAGGCGCGGCGCCGGCGCGCGGAGGGCGGTCAGCATCCGCATCGGCGGCGCGCCCTTCTCGCAGCACTGCGATCCGCCCGTCTCGAGCGGGGCCTCGCAGGAACCGCCCTAGCGCGCCGTTGCGCGCAGCGACATGGCGCGCCGCGAGCGCCGGTCGCCGCGGCCCTTAGCCCCCGCGCGCGGCTGGCGTCGCGCATCGTCCTCGACGACATGTTTTTCACCGTACTGCCTACGCACGGGAACAGCTGGCCCGCGCGGCGCCTAGCGCAGTGCACCCTGGAGTCGTCGCCCTCGATCCACCCGCGCGCGCAATCTGCCCCGCGCACCACGCGCGCGACTCGGGCTTGCCCCTCGGGGATAAGACACCCCCAGAGCAGAATTACGAAGCAAGGCGTCCCACTTCGCGGACGTCCAACTCTCGTGCCAGACGATGAACACCGCCCGCTCGCCGTCGACGGTCGCCACCGCTCACTGCGAGCCGCGCGGCAGCTCGCGCGCGCGCCCTGCGCCCCGTCGAGCTTCGCCCGCAACTCGACCGCCTGGCTGCTTCACCACCAAGATAGCACGTCTTCTCCACCCAAATCTCACGTCTTCTTGGCCAGACGCTCGATGATCGCGCCCTCGCCGCCGCCGAAACCCACCTACTTCTCCGCGTCGCCAGACGACGACGAGAACCTGCAATTCGAATCGCCGCTGCGGCCCCTGCTGTAGCCATCGCGGTCAGCGCGCGCGGGGTCGGGGCATGCCCCACATTGGCGAGCCCGTTCGCCGCGTCGCCAGACGCGTTGCCGCCGCTGGCCTCCGCCGAAATGCGCGGGCTGCGCCGCCGCGCGTAAATGCGGCCGTAGCGCCGCCGTCGCGCATGCGTCGCGAGAGCTGTCCACATGCCGGCAGCCTGCATCATGAAGCAGCTCGCCTCTATCACCAGTCTGAACCCACCCACCCACCCCAGCGCGCTCGCAAGCGTGCGCGCGCGGCCGACGGCGCCAGAGAGCATGTCCTCAGCGGTCTGAAGCTCCATGCAAGAGCGCCTTTCTGAGCGCAGCTTGCGCCCCCGGACGCTAGGCCAGAACGAGTTCGCGACGGCGCGCCCAGAACTGGCGCGCGGCTTCGCCTTCGCCCGCGCCGCGACCGCGGCCGACGCCCTTGCAGAGGCGGCTCCAGCTCAGCGGGTCGTCGCGGGAGTAGGCGTTGCGCCAGAACTCCATGACCTCCTCGACCTCCGTGGCCGCGCGGCTCGGGCCCTGCGCGTCGCCGCTCTCGGCCATGCGCTTCGCCGCCGCGCCCCAGCGAGACGCAACTCCCGCAAATGTGTCCTCGCTGTAGGCGTGCCTGCAGGACGCGCCCTGCAGGTGGGGCGAATGCCAAATAGCGTGACGCCGCTGCATGTGCAATACATATATCTATATATATGCATATGTGTATATATATATACAAATACATATATATATGTGTGTAGATACACGCACATATGTATACATAAATACAAAATATCGATATATATATATATATATATATATATACACATTTGTATACACGAAAAACGCGTTCTGTGGTCGCTTGGAAGGGGAGGGGGGTTGAAACTTGACCCCCCCCCTTGGATGGAGGGGGGGGGGTCCGAACCCCCCCCCCTTCGCTGCTTCCCCTCTCCTCGGGCCGGCGCTTGCGTCGGCGGCGGCGACGGCGGCGGGGACGACGATTTCCATTTCTGGGCCAGCGCCGGCGCATGAGGCGGCGGGCGGCGGTGGCGGGGAGCGTCGACGAGGACAACGGTGGTGGTGGTGGTGGGCTGTGGGGGTGGTGGTGGTGGCGGTGGTGGTGGTTGTGGTGGTGGCGTGGTGGTTTGTTCTGGTGGTGGTGGTTGTGGCGGTGGGTGCTGGTGGTGGTGGTGGTGGTCTGGTGGTGGTGTGGTGGTGGCTTGTGGTGGTGGTGCTGGTGGTGGTGGTGAGTTGTAGTGGTGGTGGTGGTTTGGTGGTCTGTGGTGGTGGTTTGTGGTGGTGGTGGTTGTGGTTGTGGCGGTGGTTTGTGGAGGTGGTGCTGGGGGTGGTGGTGGTGCTGGTGGTGGTGGTGGCGGTTTTTGGTGGTGGTGGTGGGTTGTGCTGCTGGTAGTGGTGGTGGTTTTGGCGGTGGTGGTGGTGTTGTGGTGGTGGTGGCAGTGGTGGTGGGTTCTTGTGGTCGTGGTGGTAATGATGAGTTGTGGTGGTGGTGGTTGTGGTGGTGGTGGTGGTGTAGTGGTGGATTGTGGTGGTGGTGGTGGGTTGTGGTGGTGGTGGTAATTTGTGGACGTTTGTTGTGGTGGTGGTGGTGGCGGTGGTGGTGGTGGTGTTGTGGTTCGTGGTGGTGGCGGTGGGTTGCGCTGCTGGTTATGGTGGTGGTTGTGGCGGTGGTGGTGGCGGTGTGGTAGATTGTGTTGGTGGTGGTACTGGTGGTGGGTTTTTGTGGTGGTGGTGGTGATGGTGAGTTGTGGTGGTGGTTGTGGTGGTGGTGGTGTGGTGGTGGTGGATGTGTGATGCTGTTGGTGGTGGTGGTGGTGGTGGATTGAGACGGTGGTGGTGGTGGTGGTGGTAGTGGTGGTAAGTGTCGCTGGCGCCAGCGCCGGCGCTGCTGGCCGCCGACAGCGCCGGCGCCGGCGCGAGGGGGGGGGGAGGTTTGAACACCCCCCCTCCCGGGCGCCAGGGGGGGAGGGTTGAACCCCCCCCCTTCCCTGGGCTGCCTCTGGTCATCGCCGCTGCGTCCCCGCCGTGGGCGCTGCTGGCGGCCGCCAGCGCGGCGCCGAGGGGGGGGGGGGTGACCCCTCTCCCCCTTTGCAGGGGGAGGTGTTTCGGAAGGGGGGGGGTTTTGGAGGGAGGGGAGTCCCCCTGGTTTTGATCGACGGCGCCGAGTGTGGGGGTGGGGCCCACCCCCCGGTTCGAAACGCGCCGCCGAATGTTCCCCAGGCAAGCGCCCATGAAACGCTCTCTCTCTCTCTCTCTCTCTCTCTCTCTCTCCTATGTATATATACTTATATATATATATATATATACAGATGTCCACGGACGGCGTGACATCATGACGCCTACGGCCTGGCGGCGGCGCTATATACAGCACTCGGACTCTCGGAGGTTTTGCGGTCTGGGAGGCCGCGAGATGCAAGGATGGCGGGCGAACTCCCTCTTTTAAACCGAACCTGCCCTGATCCGTCGGGTGGGGACAATCCGCAACCCTGCCTGCGGCTCGTTGAGGCTTGGAAGGTTGCCAAAGGCTGCTTGGCAGGGTTTCTATACTCTTCTCGGGGACCTCACGTCCTCCAGGTCACTCCCACCCGACTGCATCGCCCATGTTAGCGGAGGTGCATGGGCGGCCATGGCGGCTCCATGACGGCCGAGGAAGTCCAGCCAGGAAGCCCAAGAGGCCTCCAAAACAGTCCAGGACCACTGCAAGCACCCAAGATGGCCCCAAGACAGCACAAGAGGCTCCAAGATAGCCCAAGAGGCCTGCAAGACGCCCGATGCGGCCTCCAAGTGGCCTCCCAAGAGGGCCCCAAGAGGCACACACCCTTGATGCCCCTTCGATGTGTAGAGAATGTTGGAGTTCTCGGCTTTTCGGCTGTCCGACGCTCCAAGACCGCCCAGGAGGCCCCCCAAGACCACCACAGAACGGCCCAAGAGGCCTCCAAGAGGGCACCAAGACGGCCCAATAGCGCCCCAAGACGGCCCAAGAGGCGCCCAAGACGGTCCAAGAGGGCTCCAAGACGGCCACAAAAGCGGCCCCCAAAAGGGAGCACAAACCGAAAATCCCAGTTTTCTGTCCCAGGGGCCCCCAGGAGGGCCCCAGAGGCGCCCAGGAGGCTCCAAGAGGCGCCCAAGAGGCCCCAAAAGGGCCCCAAGAGGCCCCCGAAAGGCCCCAAGAGGCGCCACAGCGGCCCCCAAGAGGCCTCAAAACTGCCTGCCACGGGCCCCCGAGAGGCCTCTCCAGAGGCCTAAAAAAGCGGCTCCCATGAGCCTCCAATAGGCTTCATACCCACAACCAGGGCACAGTGGCGGGACATGCCGTAGTCAGATGGACAATAATATAAACCCGAATGTGTGTGTGTGTGTGTGTGTGTGTGCGTCAGTGTGTGTGTGTGTGTGTCTGTGTGTGTGTGTTTGTGTGTGTGTGTGTTTGTGTGTGTATGTTTGTGTGTGTGTGAGTGTGTGTGTGTGTGTGTGCGTGCGTGCGTGCGTGCGTGCGTGCGTGCGTGCGTGCGTGCGTGCTGCGCTGCGTGCGCGCGTGCGTGCGTGCGCGCGTGCGCGCGCGCGTGCGTGCGTGCGCGCGCGTGTGTGTGTGTGTGTGTGTGTGTGTGTGTGTGTGTGTCTGCGGTGTGTGTGTGTGGTGTGTGTGGTGTGTGGTGTGTGTGTGTGTTTGTGTTTTGTTTGTGTTTGTGTGTGAGTGTGTTAGTGCGGTGTGTAAAGAGTGTGTGTAATGTGTGTGTAGATGGGGGTATTGTGTCGCGTGCGTGCGTGCGTGCGTGCGTGCGTGCGTGCGTGCGTGCGTGCGTGCGTGCGTGCGTGGATGCGTGCGTGTGTATGTGTGTGTGCGTGTGTGTGTGTGTGTCTGTGTGCTTTGGAAGAAACACTTGGGATGTGGGTCTGTTCTGCAGGTGTACCAAGCCAAGCCGCCTGCATCTGTGATCCCTTATGCGAAGACGGGGACGTAAGCTAGGCCACGCCTTCAACGTGTTCTTAGGGTTAGGGGTTCTCTTGTTCTCGATGCTGCGTGCGTGTGTGTGTGTGTGTGTGTGTGTGAATGTGCGTGCGCGGAGCGGCGACAGCGGCGACCCCACCTGGGCTGCCGCGCGACGAGCGCCGATGACCGCGACCGATGCCGCCGCTCTCCACGGCCCTCTTTTGGGGCGCGGTCTGGCCGGGACTGCTTCAAGCCGAAACCAGCCTCGGCGACGACGGGAAGGCAGCTGGTAATTAGCGGTGCCGGGAGCTGATTCCACCAGCCCCAGCCCTTCAGTAGGGCGTGAGTGGTTTAGCAAGTTTCCTCTTCCAACCCCCTGCTTCCCCTGCGGGGAGGGGCTACCCCTCCCCCTGCCACTTACCCCTGAACACCGAGTGGGGGGGGACGGC